ATAAATTGAAAAACAAAAATAACAATCCTTGTCCTGACAACTCAAAATCCGAAAATCGCATGACCAAACACGTCGGAAAACCGAACTGGCATTGTATGAGTGCAGACACTTCCGTTAAAGAAAGCTAGAAATCCAGATGTCAATTGTTGTCTGTCAAAAATGCTCTTTATAAAAAGGGTTTAATAATTACTCCACGATATTGCTCAGAAGAAAATATAAATAAAAAGATTTTGTACCTCGATTCCGGCACCAGCAGTCATCTAGTAGGAGATAAAAGTTTGTTTACAGAACTGATATATGAGGATACTCAAGCAAAAATCATTTTAGCGGATGAAAAAATTTTATATTCACAGGGCAGAGGATTTGTTGACCTTGATTTAGAAGATGAATGTGGATTACATAAAATTCGGTTGACTGATGTTTATTACATTCCTGATTTAAAGAGCAACTTAATTTCCGTTAAGCAAATTGCTAGTAAGGGATATTCTGTTACTTTCGAAAAAGAAAAGTGTTACGTAAAGGAGGATAGCCAAATAATTATGCGTGCATATTCTGATGATAACAGTTTATATAAAATTGCTGTAATAAAAAATTCAGAAAGCGCTAATTTTGCAGTTGAATGTAAAAATAAAGACTGCATACAAATATGGCATTCTAGGTTAGGTCATCGAAGTTATGATGCAATCAGACACTTAGTAAGAGAAAATCTTGCAGAAGGAATAAAATTAGATAATTACAGTCATAATGAAAGCTGTTCAAAACAGTTAATGAAAGCTGTTAAAGAATAAAATGCAGCAAATTCCTTATCCAAAAGCTGCTTGAGTTCGAGCAAGAAAACTACTAGAACTTATACATAGTGACATTTGTGGGCCTATGCCTACTCCAAGTATTGGTGGAAAACTTTATTTCATAACATTTATTGACGACTTTACTAGATACACTCTCATCTATTTACTCACTAAAAAGAGTGAAGTTCTTAGTAAAGGACTTTGTCGGTAAAACAAGAAATAAATTTGGGAAAGCCATACAGACTCTTCGAACCGATAACACTGGTGAATATACCAGCAAGGAAATGGAGGAATTTCTATCGGATAACGGCATCAAGCATCAACTAACTGTTCCCTTTTTGCCTCCTCAGAACGGTGTGAGCGAAAGAAAAAATAGAAGTCTTACTGAGATGACCAGGTGCCTGCTGTCCCAAGGTCGACTTTCAGACAAATTCTGGGGTGAAGCTGTCAACACAGCAAATTACATCCAGAATCGCCTTCCAACCAGAGCTTGTGATAAAACTCCCTGTGAATTATGGAGCGAAAGAAAACCTAATTTAGGTCATATGAAACAACTTGGTTGCACAGCTCATGCATATGTACATAAGGAAAACTGTAAAAAATTAGACCAGAAAGCGATTGAAGGAATTTTTGTTGGTTACGATCAACGATCAAAGGGGTACAGAATCTACACAGGTGAAAACCATATAATTATCAGTAGAAGTGTAAAGTTTGTCGAAGAATTATCAGCAAATGAAAATATTGAAATTTCTCTTCACCCAAAGGTTGAAGATGTTGAAAATGATGAAGAAATCGAGGAAAAACACAAAATTGTATCCAAAGAAGAGCCAAGACAATCGGAAAGGAAAACGAAGGGAATACAACCAGAACGTCTAGGATTCCTAACAAACACAGTCAAAACCATTCCTGAGAATTTTGAAGACTTAGATAAATTGAATTCCGAAGAAAAGGAAAAGTGGTTACTTGCAGTTGACGAAGAAATCAATTCCTTATCCCGAAATAAAACTTGGGAACTGGTTGAGCTTCCTGTAGGAAAGAAACCTATTAGCTGTCGATGGATTTTCAATCTGAAAGAAAATGAAGATGAAACAGTCATTCGTTACAAGGCTCGACTAGTTGCTAAAGGTTATAGTCAAAAATTTGGAACTGATTATGATCATACCTTTGCACCAGTAGTTCGACATACAACTATCAGAACTTTTCTTGCTGTCGCAGCGTATGGTAAAATGCATGTGAGGCATGTAGACGTTACTACAGCATTTCTGCATGGAAATTTAGAAGAAGAAATATACATGGAACAGCCAGAAGGCACTGTTCAACCCGGACAAGAAGAGAAGGTTTGCAAACTTAAAAAAGCTATTTATGGATTAAACAAGCTGCTAGAGCATGGAATAAAAAAGTTGAAGAAATATTAAAGAATAGTAACTTTTTGCAAAGCACGGCAGACCTATGCTTATTTCTAAAGAAAGATGGAAATGACACGATAATGATTATTGTCTATGTTGATGATATCCTTATAGCATGCAAAAGTGAAGAAAAAATTAAAAAGCTAATCAAATCTCTCAATGAATTCTTCGAAGCAAAAGATTTAGGAGAAATCAGAAATTACTTAGGAATCAACATCAAAAGAGATGAAAACAACTTCCTGTTGAGTCAAAAATCAAAAATAGAAAAACTGAAGAAAATATTTTATCCAGATATTCACAAACCATCTTACATACCAATGGATACTTCTTATCCAAAGCAAAAGGACATCTCTCCACCAGTGGACAATACAGAGTACAGGCAAGCCATTGGAGCTGTATTATACATAGCCACTGTAACAAGACATTACTCTTGCAGCGAATCTATTAAGCAGGAAAAATGAATCTCCAAATGAGAAAGACTGGAAAGCAGTTCTAAGGGTTATTGAATACCTCAACTATACGAAGGACATTTGCCTGAAAATTGACTCTGATAGCACACAAACACTTTCCTGTTATACGAATACTGACTATGCATCTAATTTAACCACCAGACGATCAACAGGTGGAAATTTATTTTTCTTAGGAATAGTCCAATATTTTGGTCCACAAAGAGAAAAAATTGTGTTTCCCTATCATCTACCTAATCCGAGCTTATTTCTGCAGCTACTGCTGCTCAAGGGCTCAAATGGATAATAGATTTCCTTAAAGATTTTGGAATAACTCAAAAACTACCCATTAAGATATTTGAGGACAACAAGTCCACAATAGCTCTTATAAAACAGGGGAAAATGAATACTAGGCTAAAGCATATTAATGTTAAATATTTCTTTTTAAGGGAAATGGAAGAGAATAAAATAATCGAGATAACTTACTGCAATACAAATTCTATGATTGCAGATATTTTGACTAAGCCATTGCCTAAACCAAAATTTCTGAAATTAAGAAGTGAGCTAAATATGATTTCCAATATTTCCCAAATGCATGATTAAAGGGGGGGATTGTTGTAAATTAATCAAGCATTTGAGAATAAATAAATACATGTTTTCTAACTTACTTCTGGCAACCCTAAAAAATGCCAAGACACACAAGCGTCAAACACGTAAACTATGTTAATCACGTGATATTAATATATCCCATGATCCTCTTGTTCTTTAGATATTTTTAAGCTTCTGTATGTGCTTGTGTTAACAATAATGTATTTACCGCTTATATTATTTTAGTTGCAGTTCAATAAATATGTTATTTGTGTTTAAATCTGCATCATATTATTTATAGATAAATCCCTCATCATAATCATCAATAGTTTCGGAGACTCAACTGCTGCTACTGAGTGCACAAAAGGTAAGCTGATTTTGCTATCTTTATTCTTCAAAATGTTCCAGCTTAAAATGCGTATACGCATCACCGGTCCTCTGAATGCAACCTCTAGTGATGCGTGGATGGGACGCCTGGCTGTAAGAGACATTTTTAGGGAATGCATATATAGGACGCCCATCCTGAAAGGGTTAAACCTGTGTAACAAAAGGTTAAGTTAGATTCAAACCCTTTTTCGTTTAACAATATTGCATACAGCACCATTTCCCCCTAGTGGTGAGTTTTGAACTTCCCCCCCCTTTTTTTTTCCAGAAAATAAATTCCTATGATCTCCTTTACATGATTACCAAGTATGATAACATTTGGTCAAGATATTTTCCTTTTATGACCATTTCAAAGTGGAACTTTAATTATAACCACCCTGTACTTTGATTCTACTTTTTCTTTCTTATTCTTTAATTTCATGCATTTCCCATTTATTTTATCTACCTGAAATGACTGTTGTAGCCTTTGGAAAGTGCACGCACAGACATTAGAACTTTGTAGAGAACAGATTGGGAACTTGATCTAATCCAATAAAATTCTAAACCGCTATTAATACACAGATCTTCCCATATTTAATTTTACACTTCATCATACAAATGAAGGATATTTGCAAATCCTTCAAACATAAAAAACAAAATTTCCAACTACAGTGCAGCACCTCTATATACAAGAAATATACGAGTATAAGCAAAAAATTTATCTCTAAATATGAACATTGACTCAAGTAATGAGCAAGGCTGTTGGTATGCATGGCGCTATTTCCTGATCTGGCTTGACTCGGAGAATTCTCTCGTTAGATCACTCAGTGTTCTTTGATCTATGTGTTTGTGTGCTTGCGAGTTAATTGTTGTTTACATTTAACGTGAAAATAATTATTTCACGATGCCTCCCAAGAAGATTGTTGCCTCAGATAGTGCTGAAAAGAAAAAGAAGGAAACTAATCGCCATTGAAAATTGAGAAAGAAATCATAAATAAACATAAGTGTGGTGTAAGAGTGACTGAATTGGTGAAGACATGTGGCCGTTCGATATCAACGATCTGCACTATTCTGAAGAAGAAGGAAGCAGTTAAGAAACCTTGATGTTGCCAAAGGAGTTACCGTTACTTCCTAGCACCATCCAAACCTCCTAGAAGATGTTGAGAAAATGTTGTTGTTGTGGATTAACAATAAGCAGTTAAAAAAAGATTTGCTGTTGGAAGCTATCATAAAGGTAAACTAACTGGATTTCCATTATTTTGAATGGGGAAGTTTGTTTTTAGATACGAGAAATTCACTATACCAGTTCAATGCTGGAAATTGTATCTCGAGATTCCACTGTATTGCATATAACTAATTAATCAAGCATATAAAGCCATGTAAATAAAGAAAATTTTAAATTTACTTACACAGCCTCAGTCTTCTGTTTAATGATTTGAAAGAAAACATTTGCAACTTCACTGTCAAATATTCTTATTCGATCCCAATCAAGAGACAAGATCCTCTGATTCGGAGCTATAACCTAACATTTGATAAACATGTAGTATAATTTATAATTATAAGAAGCATATGAAAACAGTTAAAACAGCAAATTTAGGAAATAAAATTTTGACACCTAAAAACACAAAAGAAAATTTCCATTTAAATAATATACACTAATAATATATTCATGAGAATGCTATGTCATAAACAAAATGTAATAACAGAAATGAAGTAATGATAGACCTCTTTTGCAATCAGTGAAGATAATAGAGGGAGGAAGGATAAATAAATTGCTGTAATTACTTTTAAAGGAAGAATGTTACTAATTCTGATGAAAAGAAAACATGATCAGCTTTTAAATTATTCAGTCCTATGCATAAAAGCTTTCCTTCAAAATAAATGGGGAGAAGAGATTACAATACGAAAAATGAGGGGGAAAAATGTTTTTGATTAATTTAGATACCAAAATTCAGTTTATTATCTAGCATTCGCATAGTTTCCAGAAGATAAAGATCATTTGTATTAAAAAGCAGCTAGTTGACTTTAAAAAGCATTTAAATAGAAATATATATTTAATATATATACCTTAACTGCGAGCACATAATATGGTTCTGGTTTAAAGGAAGCAATTCGATCATGGCGTTCAACACAAAATCCTAAAGTTGGAGTTTGACATGGCCCAAATGAAATTAACGTGCTGTCAAGATTGCCATATTTATTCTGCAAAATATAGAAAATATATATATATATTCTTATTTTTACAAAACACATTCAATTAATAATAATTAATAATGGATGACAAAAAATTGACATGGTAATATATGAACAATACCAGATGATAATTCATGTAAATAAAAGATATTATTAATGGAAATTATAAAAATAAAATTTCAAAGTCAGTTGAAGCATTTATGTATGAATAATATACAAAAGTATTTTTAAAAAAATACTGTAGGGGAAAACTATAGAGTTTTTCCAGGTTTTGAAAAATTTAGTAAAACGTAACAAAGTGAGTTAAGCCCTGATAGGAAATATAAAACTTAATGAGGAAAGGCAACTGTTTAAAATTGAACTGTATATTCAAACAACTGTATAAGCTCAGTTTTAGTATATTTATGTATTTAATATTGTTTTTTCAGCGACTAGCTTTTCTAAATAATATGGCAATTAGTGAAGGCTGATTGATTGTGATCTAAGTTCTAATGGGACACTTAAAATCTTCCATATCAAAACAGCTTAACGAGATAATACTTTGCTAATTCAGAAGTCAAACAACAAAAATCAATGTTATATTTTCCAATTTTCACAGAACTAGTTTCGATGGTTTTACCTAACCACCATCCTCAGCTGCAAAAGCTCAAATGAACGAGATAGGATATAATGATTAGATAAGATAAGAAAGCCTGGACAGAGAATAAGCAAGTGGCGCCATCTGTTGGCGAAACCAGAACTAAAACATAATTTTCTCTAAAAGCCGAAGGCAAATTTGGATTGGAATTAGGATCGTTAACTAGAACAGAAAGATTTTTATGAATGTGAAATGCCTCTAGAAAATCCAGTTCTCCAATGGAAGATGTTTTTTGAATAATTTTGGCAGCAGAAAAATTGAAAGTGTGATTTTCGGACCAACAATGTTGAGCAACAGAAGACTTCTGTGTTTCCTTTTTTCTAACATATGCCTCATGTTCTTTGACGCGAAATTTTAAGGCTCTCTTAGTTTGGCCAATGTAAATTAAACCACACTGGCAAGGAATCCTATAAATACCCCAGGAATTCATATCCGGAATGGGGTCCTTGAGTATAGAAGTTGGAATTTTATTGATGGGAGAATAAACAACCCGAAAGTTAAATTTCTGCAAAATATGTGCAACTTTATAGCTAATTGATGGAAAGAAGGGAATGACAACAGAATTTTTATAATCTCCTAAAATAAGAGTGTGGCTTTTAGTGTGTTGAGATGAGAATTTTTTAACTGCTTGATTAATAATGTTGGGTGAAAAGCCCCTGTCAATAGCTATTGCTTTTAAATAATTTAGTTCTTCATCAAGGGCTAGTTTGGAGGAGCAAACTTGAAGAGCACGGAAAACATAGGAATAAAATGAAGCTAACTTTTTTGTTTAGTCGGATGACATGATTTAAAGTGTGGTGGAAGGCAAACCGATGAAGGTTTACGGTAAACTGTAGTACTGAAGTTGGATGTGTTACGTGTGACCAGAATGTCGAGAAACGGAAGAGAATTGCAAGTCTCAAGTTCAAAAGTGAACTGAATAGCAGGATCAATAGAATTCATTGTTGAAAGAACTTTATTTAAATCATCTTTATTACCTTCAAACAGGGTAAAAGTATCGTCTACGTAGCGGAACCATGCCGGGAAGTTTAAAGTTTCAAACAATTTTGATTCATAATAATGCATGTAGATATCAGCCAGGATGGGACTGAGGGGGCTTCCCATGGCTAATCCCTCAGTTTGCTTGTAATATTTATTTTGGAAAACAAAATGTGTTTGTTTCAAACAGAGTTGAGTGAGAGAAATTAGCTCATCAATTTCGATGCAAGAGAAATGAAATTCGCGAAGTCTGGTTTCTAGACATCTTAATGCACCCTCCACTGGGACATTGGTGAATAATGATTTTACATCAAAAGAAACCATGAGTAAATTACTAGGAGAAATGTTTTTAACCTTTTTTACAAACTCTATTGAATTTTTTATGGTGTAAATGTTATTGTCTAATAGAGTGGAAAATCTAGAAACTAAATATTTAGCTAATGGATACGAGGCAGTACCTAAATTTGATACAATAGGGCGGAAAGGAATACCACTTTTATGAATTTTGGGAAGAGCATATAATCTGGCACAATTCGCAACAGATGGGATAAGCGAATGTTTTAAGTTGCTTGAAATGATTTGCGAAGATTTGATCGCAGTTTTTATTTTGGATAAGTCCGAAGGTGAAGGATCTTTTAGGGATCGGATTATATGGTCCTTCGTTTAAGAGTTTAGTGACACCATCGATGTAAGTGTTCTTATCCATGACGACTATCTGGCCACCTTTGTCGGCCTTTGAAATGATAATATCCGGGTTAGAATGAATTTTCGCGCATTGTAGCTCTTTCTCTCGCAGTTAGATTTGGTTTCAAAGGTTTATTATTGAATTTCACATTATGAGCGATAAGATGCCTAATCATTTCTTTCTGTGAATCTGAAACTTTACTGAACTTGAAAGCTTTTTCGATAGGAGCCAAAATCTTTGGAATCGAGGGTTTACAGGTTTGTGAGAAGTTAAAATTATATTTTAGAATTCTCTCTTGTTCTTCTGAAAGACTAACATTAGAAATATTAACTATTGGCTTGATGTTTACAATGGGAAGATTTTTTGAACTACTTGAACTGGAAGACTGTAAAAGAAGTTTTTCGAATTTAACTGCAAGGGTGTTTTTATGACGGTTAACTGCATTCTCCGTTCTAGACCAAGACTTTTGTTCAAGGGCAGTGAATTTTGGATATGATTTAGCGAGTTCCAGATGAAGCTTATAGAGTTCATGTTCAATTTTGGACAATTGTTGACGTGTATCCCTTATCACGGACCGAAGTAAGGCAAGCTTTTGCAATTTAACAGAATTCTTGAAACGCGACTCGAAGGTTTTTGATTAGATTTGATTTGAATGAATAAAATTGGGGATCAATTTTTTACATTTACATTTAAGTAAAAAGTCAAGATGATTCAGGAATTTTTGCCGTTTTCAGGCGTAATTTAGTGAAACGATTAACGGATGAAGGCATGATAAACAATGCAGAAAATCAAACTAAATTAACTGAGCAATAATAAAGTACACACAAAATAGCAGAAAAATCCCTCACTGAAATGAATAGAAAACAAAACGTTTGTAAGCAAAATGCATGAAATCAGACAAGCAAAGCACAATATCCAAATGTACAAAACATAAACATAACTTGAAAATTGCAAAAATGTACTCACCGAAACTCCTACAATCACACAATGGCGGCCACACCACGTGCAAAAAAGAAAGTGAAAAATAAGCCGTTTTCGGCTCCGAAACACACACAAATGCAAGACGACGAAAACCACGTGGAAAATAGAAAGCAAAAAAATAAACTTGTTTGGAGCTTCTATATTAAGACACAATAACACGCCGAATAAATACTAATTCAGAAGTCAAACAACAAAAATCAGCGTTATATTTACAAAATTTTCACAGGACTAGTTTCGATGGTTTTACCGAACCATCATCTTCAGCTGCAAAACCGCAAATGAACAAGATAGGAAATAATGATTAGATAAGATAAGAAAGCCTGGACAAGAATAAGCAAGTGGCGCCATCTGTTGGCGAAACCAGAACTAAAACATAATTTCTCTAAAAGCCGAAGGCAAATTTGGATTGGAATTAGGATCGTTAACTAAAACAGATTTTTTATGAATGTGAAATGCCTCTAGAAAATCCAGTTCTCCAATATGTTTTTGAATAATTTTGGCAGCAAAAATTGAAAGTGTGATTTTCGGACCAACAATGTTGAGAGCAACAGAAGACTTCTGTGTTTCCTTTTTTTTTCAACATATGCCTCATGTTCTTTGACGCGAAATTTTAAGGCTCTCTTAGTTTGGCCAATGTAAATTAAACCACACTGGCAAGGAATCCTATAAATACCCCAGGAATTTATATCCGGAATGGGGTCCTTGAGTATGGAACTCGGAATTTTATTGATGGGAGAATAAACTACCTGAAAGCTATTTCTGCAAAATATGTGCACGAAGGACCATATAATCCGATCCCTAAAGATTCCTCACCTTCAGACCTGTCAAAAATAAAAACTGCGATCAAATCTTCACAAATCATTTCAAGTAACTTAAAACATTACCTTATCCCATCTGTTGCAAATTGTGCCAGATTATATGCTCTTCCCAAAATTCATAAAAGTGGTATTCCTTTTTGCTCTATTGTATCAAATTTAGGTACTGCCTCATATCCATTAGCTAAATATTTAGCTAACGGAGCTAATATTTAGCTCGGCGAGAAACTTGGCGGACATCACTGGAGAGCTGCTGACTGGCTGGAGAACTCTTCTTTTTTTTTTTTTTTTTTTTTTTAAATTTGTGAAAGGCCGAAAGATACAATCATCTACTACTTTCTTTTTCCAAGATTCAATTTTCAGATTTATTGCTAGTGGTTTTATTAAAACTGAAAGTTCAAAACCATATGACTAATCTCTTAGTCTGACAGCTTAAAAGCATATGCTCCTAAGTTTTGGCAAACCGAAGAAATAGCCAATGAATCCCTCCAAAGCACAGAAGAGGTGTTTTGTGAATTGCCCTATCACAAGACATGTAGGAGAAATGAGAATGGACCTTTCATAATACACAAGCCTACTTGAGAAGAAGCACTTCATAAATTATGTGATTTGAGAAACATTACTAACAAATGTCTTAACCAAATGATTAAAAGGTTAAATAGAAACCCAAACTTACAAAGCTTTACACAGATTCTATCAATGAATATGAAAGCTTAAATCCCATGGAAAGAAAGAGTTGAAAAAGAAAATCCTCTAACCGTTACTTTCGACTTCTTCACCATGAAATTTACAAACCTGAAAATTTGTCGGTGAAACTGTGAATAGTGTTTAACATGTCCACCTCTACCTACTTCAATCTTGCTTAACAATATTTTACTATCAGGAGAGTTTAAAGAAGATATTTTTGATTTAA